CCCCCGAGACCCTGCAGGATCTCAGGGGGGCTCTGCAGGATCTGTGGTGGGCTTTGCAGACGGCAGAGCCCCCTCGGATCCTGCAGAGCCCACCAAAGTGTATTGCACAGCACACCTGAGACATTTTGGTGGGCTGTGCAGAATCTATGTTGGTCTCTGCCAGCACTTTCCTCTTACCTTGCACGGCCTGACGTCGTTGGAACACGTCCTCCTTGTCCTCGGCGCCCGACTGGGTACATACAAAGAAAAGATTTAAACATGCCAAATACACAGACATTGGTATCTAACAGACAAACAGACATACAGTTAAAAGAGAGAACTAACTTCTTTCCTCAATCATTAATATACCCCCGGTGTCCATAGGGATGCATTGCAAGCCTTTGATTGGTTGCCTCCCAAGGCCTAATGGAGATTGGAGGGTTTCCAAACCCTCTTTACAACTCCCCACCCCTCTCTATGATTGGCCAGTCTACCTATTAGTAGATCAAAGGGTCTTGGCTCCGAAAAACCTGATGACCAGCCATACTCTATGCAATTATCCGAACATGCCTGGGCTGAACAATAACCCTATTTACAATTCATTGGCCTGCCACTCCCCTCCACAGTGATAAGCACAACAAAGATTTTATTTACCTCCTAGCTACCCCCACCTCAGGTGAAATAGTTAAAACAAGAAATAAAACTATACACATATGTCTTATGAAGATTTGACATAAACTCATAAGGTAAGACTCTTCCCCACAACCCTGGCCTGGTGGTTGTGGAGGTCTGCAGGCAGGGAGGCTTATCTGAATCAGGGTAAAAAATATGTTTAATAAAAAAATTAAAATTAAAGATAGGAGACAAACACACCACATTCTAAATTTGTTCCATTCTAAAATTGTATTTCCTTTTGTGACCTCTAACTCCCAATGAATGAATAAGAGGTAGTTGTTACCTCTACTCATTTTTTTTTCTTTTTCTTGTTCTTTGGTGTTGGGGTCTGGTATGAATGGGGAGGAGGGGGAACAACGCTTCTTTTTTTTTATTGTTTCTGTAAAGTGTCAAAAGTTAAAAAGAAAAATGTCACTTTTTTTTTTCTAATGTCACTTTCCTGCAGTGAAAATGAGTTTATAATTATCTAACACATCCGAAATTTACAAAAATGTCAGATTTGGACTAATCCAAATAATTAAACAAATTGACTTTCAGACCCGAATCCCCAAAAACGAAATAACAAAAAATCTGAAGCAAAAAGAATTACATGCCGGCGCACATGTCTAGTCATTGTTTCCTTGATATTGGACTGGTATTAGGGTATCTGCTCTGTGAGTAGAGTTGCATGTTGTACATGCAACTGTCATTTAGCATATATGAACAGTTTTAGAAGGAAAAAGAAAATGAATGTTCTGAAATTAAAGTAGAAAGAAGGGTTTAACATTTAACATTCATAGGCTTTCAAGATGTACAAAACTTATACTCTGTCACCCATAACCAGACAAAGCCTCAGACAAATAAAAAGTAGAACCATTTTTTTTTTCAGGTTGTCCTCAGCACTAGAAGTGGGTCCTGGATTATGAGCCGTGTATGGGATAATGGCTACCCCTGGGACATGGTCTACTTGACCCGCTACCAGTCTTTTCTGAACAGAATATTGCCAAGAGCCATTTCTGACTGGCTATATGAAAGCATGATGGAGAAAAGATTCAACCATAGCCATTATGGTTTGGTACCTATAAACAAGTATGTTTTCAATTTTAGGCAATGTTTTTGTGAATGTTTTATGGCAAAGTAATACAATGTTGTAATATTAAGACATACCATTCCTGTGTCCACGGAGTACAAAGTGTATATACTTTTTAAGTAAATGGCGGACAGCATCAGTCAAGTACTTTGGTGCACGTATGTCCACCCACTGAAAAAAGTGGCTTGTTGCTGCTTCAGCACTATGGGCTGTGCATGTGTAGCTTACTTGCAAAAATACCAGTATATTGGTATAGCCTCAGCTCCAACTATGAGAAAATGGAGGCCACAATGGGATTTATAGCAATAAAACTGCTCGGTTGTTATTGACCAGAGTCTGTGTTGTCCTATTCTCATAGTTTTCTTTCTAGTTCATTAACTCCTCATCTCATTGTCTTCACCTTGCGTTAGCAATTTCCTTGCGTTCTATTGCCCACTAAGAGTTGTGCTCTTTCTGAGTTGCCTGTGCTAATTCTTCATCTGCCAGTCTTCTCCATGTACTTCCTTTGTTAACTTTTCCTATGTTAAGGGAAAATAAAACCCTTCCTTTGCAGCGGGGCTACCCCTGATCTGCAAGGGTTAAGTGATGGATTTATCTCGAGCACACAAATAAAGCTGATTTACTTACCTGATCCTGGCTCCCTCCGCAGTCAGCGCTCCCCTCTTTCTTCCTCCGCTCCGCCTATGGAGTGTCCTTCGGCGTGCTCACATCTAATGAAGGTGAATGGACCTGCATAAGACACAATGACGTCAGCAACCCTTAGACCGCTGGAACCCAAGGGAGAAGAGGCTGCGGGGACCGGTCTAGCAGCCCAGAGAAAGCCAGGATCAGGTAAGAAATTCTACTTTATTGCAGCCTCTAAAGCAAAATGAGCACTTAACCCAGTGTGGGAGTAGGGCCACTGCAACGTTAAGTTTTAAATTTGCCCGAAGTTCTTCTTTAACCTTTGCCACATCCATACCTATGGTAGCTGTGATAACCATTTCTAATCCCTTAGTCACTTCCCCCATTGCTCTCGGTCTATTCTTTAGTCCTTTCGCACACTTTGCTATGGTATTCAAATGTTTCCTTGCTGCTGCTGCTGCACAAGCCTTACCCCACGCATACATTTGACCTCCCACATTTCCAATTTACTCATTTAAGGAACAGGCAAACATTTGCTAATATTATTTAAATGATGGAAACAATTTTGTATTTTCATAAATGCTTCCAATTTTCCTCAGCTCAGTAATTTTTCTGAATAAGCAGGTTAAAACTTGCCAAATGAAAGAAAGATTTATTTAAACATTCTGTAGCACCCTCCTGACTTCTAGGAGCAGGAGGAGCTGACATTTCACCTTAGGGATGAGTTCAGTATGTGGGATGTGAAAGCAGCAATAAAGAACTTGGGCGCCAGTCACATTAACGATTTTTTTAATGCTTTATTTCATGAACTGCATACATAGGGAGAGAGGGTTGGGGCTGCAGACATCTGGGTTAACACAGAACTCCAGACTTATCAGATGCTTTCCAGCTTCACAGTGCAAAGGGCCAATAACCAAAAATGTGGTGACACTGTGAGAAACATAGCTGATCAGCAGACATGCTTGAGATCTCCCCCGGGTGAGACACCAAACTCTCTGCAAGGTCTAAGTCAATCCTGGCTTCTCCTGTACCTCTAGCAGATGAAGTTCCTCCCTGGCTCTCCATCCCAGTATTTATGCCTGACCCCGACTGTGTCTAAACCTGACCACCTACAGGCTGCAGGCCCGGTCAGACAGCTCACGCATAACGCACCTCCCCCGGAGGCCCGGGGGAGAAAGAGATTCTCACATGGTCAAACCCAGATATTTATGACCTCCCCCAGCATGCACCACTGGCCTTGAAACTCCTAGTGATTGGCTGGAGAGACATAGATATCCATAACATCCCACTACTGGTTGCTCTGTTCTGTGGCAGGGCTACACCCAGCAGCAGGCAAATTCAATCAATAACAGAACCCTTAGGGAAAGCCATATAAGGACAGACTATGTAATCAGGTAGACTGGATACAGTCCTAGCACATCTAAATTTAAGTAGTCAACCCACTTAGGGAAAGATGGCTACACTTTTATCTAAGCAAATTATTGTTATGATGAGGGAGACTGAGCTTAGAAGCTTAGTCCAAAATGCTTATTGGTTCACCACCATAAATAAGGAAAAGCCTATAATGCAGTGCATATGTAACGAACTTACCCGTCCTCCGGTTCCGGGTCTTCCCGCGGCTCTGTCGGGCAACCAGCTACATCATCAGCAAAGGCGTCAGGCGGCTCCTCCCCCTTCCTCTACTTAAAGCCGACGGGTTCACTTGCCTGGTGTTTGTGCAAGTACGTAGGACGCCAGGCAAGGACCTCCTAGTCTCCACACCGAACCTGTTACTATTGGGCCGGATGAGTGCCCCCTCTATCTGGCCTCAGCAGCCACTTCCTCCCACTCAACCCAGGCATACTGAAACTCCTTCCAGTGACTACGTCAGCAAGGAATCCCTTTGTATGGGGAAAAACCAGCAGTTCATTGACTAGCCTCCAGGTGGCACTGTGGGACCGAATCCTCATAAACTGCAAGTATACAGCAGCAGCTGTTTAACCCCTTATTCAATTGACTGTTTCAAGCAATTGCTTCCTATGAGATAAGACTGTATCTGTACCTTATGCCACAAGATACCGGGTTATTAATACATTGTTACTCCAGATAAATAACCTGCTGCAACCTGATACTCCTTCCACTCACTTTACCAGTTCGCTTAACTGGAAACCGGCGGCGGCGGCCGCGCGGGGGGGTTGGGGGGGGGCTTTGGAAACGAGCACATATAGACGATCGGCGGACTATGGAGCCGCTGATCGCCTATATGTGAAACACCAGGTAACGGGTGTTTGCATTGCATTAAGGTTACAAATACTTTAATTACAGCACGGTATCCATAGCATCTAATCAGATAATTTTCTTATATGTTAGGAACTGTAATACAAGTACTACATAATTACATTATCACTGACATTTACATTTCTTCATATTTTCTTTCCTTTTTCAAGGAGTCTGAGGAAAGAGCCAGTATTTAATGATGACCTAGCAACCTCAATTACCTGTGGAACTGTGGTCATTAGACCCAATATTAAAAAGTTTACGGAATCCTCAGTGGTCTTTGAAGATGGCTCTATAATGGATAATGTCGATGTTGTCATCTTTGCAACTGGCTACTCCTATGCCTATCCATTTATGGATGACTCCATTGTAAAAAACAGCAAAAACAAAGTATCTCTTTATAAAGGAGTATTCCCTCCAACGCTTGAAAAGTCAACACTAGCTGTCATTGGTTTAGTGCAATCATTAGGTGGTATCCCACCAACCTCTGATGTCCAGGCTCGACTGGCAGTGAGAGTTATCAAGGGTATATGGAAAAAAAATTATAATTATGCGTTACTCAAAATGTTAGCTCTGGAACATGAAACAGAATGATTCTTAGCTACATCTATATTTTTTTTTTATTTACCTTTTTACATATTATACATTTATTTATGATTTATGATACTTTTTGTGATAAATGTAGTTATTTACTTTGGAACTAAAAATGTCCATGCCTCATACAATCTAAGGGAGTAATCTAGGTGTGTCAATAATGGAAAAGATTTAGAATTCTGTGGTAAATCATAGGCTTAACGTATACAGTCCTAGCACATCTAAATTTAAGTAGTCAATATATGTATACTGTATATATACTGTATATCTGTAATTCCCCAGCACACACTTAAACTAAATGGCCTTCAGGGTATGTCTACATTATATGCTGTATAGATGGTACATATAGAGTAACAAGGTGCTGTCAAATGAGGCAGATGTGGTAAATAGGAACATACGCTCTTCCTCTATGTTACAGGTGTGCTAAGTGAGCCATACTAACATGCTACTAGACAGCCAAATTTATATAATTTATATCTGACAAACACAACCTTCAAGTGACACTAAACACAGGAGTTAAATCTTAAAAATGCATTAAAGTACCCTAACTATTAACAAAAATGTAACTTATTAGTGCATCACTCAGCTATAGATCTTCAAATCATCTCTTAATTCCTACTGACACTGTCCTTCCTCCTGGAGGGTGGCTACTTTTGTTCCCCATTGTCCCTGTGTGTGTTGTGTTGTAGCCCGAGATGGACTACAATCTCAATACAAATTAGTAAACTAAAGATGAGATTGTAGTCCATCACAGCAGTGAGCTTGGAGCAGTGGCTACTTTACAACACACACACAGGGCCCATGGGGACCAAAAGTAGCCACCCTCCAGGAGGAAGGACAGTGTCAGTAGGAATTAAGAGATGATTTGAAGATCTATAGCTGAGTGATGCACTAATAAGTTACATTTTTGTTAATAGTTCAGGTACTTGGATGCAATTTAAAGATTTAACTCCTGCGTCTAGTGTCACTTTATTTACAGATAGGACAATGACATAGAACATCACCTTAGACACAAGGTATCCTAAAGGGAAAACATAATTTGTTCTTCAAAGTTTACCATGCATCTTTATAACATCAACTTCTGGCCTTTTTTGTAATACGGACACTTGTCTGCATAATTGTTAATCATTTTATAATTTGTCTTATGTTCATTGTTTATATAACCTGTTTTTCTTTTCTTAGGTTTATGTAAGCTTCCATCAAAAGACACCATGCTTAGTGAATTAAGTGAAGAGGAAGGAGAGAAGACAAGCTGGTATGAGATATTATGACCTTCAGTTTACCCTTCCTAGTAGTAACAAGTCCAGCAAAAAAGTATGACGTTTTCATACAGACCACTGTAATCCAGCAATCTTAGTATGTCTGTATCTTAGAACTAAAAAACAATATTCCATATAGTTTTTCTTCTGCTTTGTTTCAATCAGCTCCTATTAAGCCTCATGCAAAATAAAAAGGTGGTGGTGACAGGAGATATTTATATATCAGATCTCATCCTGTAACCACAAATATAAGTATATACTGTACATATACTATACACATTTTCTGGAGCAGGCGGATTGTTAATATAAAGCAGGTAGTCATTTTGGTGTCACCCCTCCAATGGTGGCACCCGGGTGCGGGCCGCCCCCCCCTTGTTCCGCCACTGTCACCTAGTATTATGGAGGAAAAAGCTGTTAGCTTCAAATCTGAAGCTGACAGCTTTTTCTCCATTCAGAGTGGCTTGTATCTGGCATTTGACAGCTAAGTTAGGTTAGACAGCAGCGGGCTTTCCCACTGCTTGTGTAGCCTAACATAGTAAGGCAAGAGCTGAAACAGCCTCTGCTTTATGTTAGAGGCTTGAGCTCTGTGCATGGTTTGGACCAGTAGCAAAGCGCCATTGGGCCAAGCTGTCAAATAAAAAAAATAAAAAACTGAGGACCTCGCTCTTGACACCTCACCAGTAACGAACAAGTGAGGAACAGGACTCCTCCCGGTCTCCTCCCTCCTTCACACTAGCTTTGTGACCGGGTTGAGTGGGTCG